ATTGAAAAAAGGATGACAATAAGTCATATTATCCGGATTGTTTTTAAAGTTTTGTCTTTATTTCTAGTCAAGATAAAGAACCAAATCTTTAAAATTAATAAAGGAATTGAATGTCTATTCGCATATGACGTAATTTCGTCCGGTGACCAATCAGCGTTCTGTTGATTTTCTTAATCATTGCTTTTGTCGTGCTTGGATCGTAGACAAGTAAAGCAGGCAATCGGGAACCAATACGTTTTTAAACTTGACATATCAAGTTTGCTTCAAAGAAAAAACAGACAATCGATTTGAAAAAAAAGAAGTTATTTTTCTAAAAAAAAATAAAAGTAAAAATCTAATGAGTGCTTGTTTTGACTTGATCAAAAATATAACAATTTACAGACTTTATAAAATTGTTTTGACAAATTGTCAATTCTGAGTCACTAAATTTACAGATTTTATTTTATCTTTTGACTTAAAACGCAATTTTTAACAAAAGACATTTTCAAGTAAAGTTTATAAACGTAATTGTTTCGTAGGAATTTCATGAGACAAACAAAACAAGTCAATAAAAAAATGGCAAATTTATTATAGGAATGATTGAGCCAATCAACAAAGGTGACGAGTTATGTCACAACACACGCACACACACATGCACACACCTATATGTGCATGCATTTATGTATATGTTTGTTTGGACATGGTGCAAGGTCAAATGACAATATCAATAACTTACTGTTTTGATTGCCACTCTACACGCATACACTCTCTTACACACATTCTTACATGCACAAACTCATAACGAGACAATATCTTTTTTTTAAATTTCGAGCTAAAGTTTGATGTTTAATTTTTTCGTTTTCTGAAATTAGAGAATTTCTGCTGAAAGATTTCTAAATGAAATGTATCAATTTCTGTTATGACATTTTTACTGAGCCATTATTTTATATTTTTTAAATCTAAAATTTATTTTTAGAAATTTTGACATATATTTTGTAAAAATGAATAAATATAACCTTGCACTTATGAGTATACACATAATTCTATTAAACATAGATGGAGTACTGTTGCCATATTTGGGCGGAAGCTTCCCGGTCTTCCAGTTTTGATAGAGTTCAAAAGCGTCTCTGAATCTTTGTTGAAGAAGGGTGCAGAACAACTCAACACCGCCGACTCAACACCGCCAACTCAACACCACCGACTGAACGCGGGGACAACTCAGGACCGAGACAACTCAGCACCATAAAAACATAACATTGTTTTATAATCGAATAAAAGTAATTTATTAAGGATTAAAACCTTAATTAGTGAATATTTTTAATTATTTTTAATTAAGTAAATCATAATTTTTTTAATAAAGTAAAAATATTCACTAAGTCAATGAGAAGTAAGTTCCACTGGGACAGCTTCTTCCCGCGTACCACCGTCCTGTGGAACAAATTCCCAAGAGAATGTTTTCCCCATCTCAACAATCTTAACCTGTTCAAGTCTAGAGTTAACCGTTATCTTCCCCTCCTATCCATATAAACTACACCTTAACGTAACAATCTACATGGAGTGGTCCCCGGGCCTTGTACAGGGTGAAACTTACTAAAAAAAAAAAAAAAAACTGAGTGAAAGTATCCTATTTGGTGTCAGGACTTCTTAATTAAGTTATACATTTCTTAATAATTAAGACCTTATTATAAGGCACTCATTGAACATATTACTACACAGGTGTCGTTCTATTTCAAGCGAAATTGGCTTAGGTTACTGTAAAATATTTTTCTTAAGCTTAATGTTTTCTTAATGTTTTCTAATAATTTGAAGTAATTCAAAAGCAGTGAATATTCTATAGTGAATTCTATGAAGGGTATATTTCTTATGTTCATGTATGTAGAATATATGAGATATATATGGGACATAGAACTATGTAAGATACATAGCTTTGTAAGTTTTGTCTATTTAATTATTCAAATGTAGTTTCTAGAACTCTGGTTCAAATCTCAATATAGCCGGAAAAAAAGCATAAAGCGGTTGCGTAAAAGCGTTCATAAGCATAATTTTGAAAATTATTTTGGATTCTGTACAAAATACCAGTCACTTCTTTCGTATTTTCTTCCCCTCTCTCTCAGTCACCTCCTATCTCTTTCAAATTATATATATATATATATATATATATATATATATACACACACACTTTCCCTACTCTTTCGCCCTTGGCTCCAAACATATACACAGGTTAAGCAATTTGCTAAAAATACAAAATAAAGTAAATCTAAAGAATATCGCGTTAGAGTTAAGGGCCATTCACACAACTATAGAACCTGCCGAATATTGATACAAATAACGAAAGCTGAACACACACACACACACACACACACACACACACACACACACATATATATATATATATATATATATATATATATATATATATAACGTTCATGAAAGTATATTTGTTCCGAAATATATCCGATGATGCACTTCGTCGTTTAAGACTTTATCAGACGCGAAAAAATGAGATACGTGTATGTGTATTTGAGTTTAAATAATGAAATCTTATTATTTTTTCCAAAGATCGGCTTTCTCCTGACTTTCACTTTGGGATATATTTTAGAATTTTGGAACAAATATACTTCTAATGAACGTTTTCCAATTGTCAAAAATTTTAAACTTTGTCATGCACCCTAATTTTAATATATATATTGATATATATATATATATATATATATATATATATATATATATATATATATATATATATATATATATATATATATATATAATGATAACGATATATATTTTTATATATCAAAGTTGAAAAAAGTTTACTTGTGATATGTTTTCGTCCTTCAGGACTTAATCAGACAAAATTTGTTATGTTGGTACGAGGGTGCTTTAATTTTCAAAAAAAATTTAAAAAATTTTTGTTTTATATATACCCAAATTCATTAAGAGTCTTTTTCATTTTCTTTCCATCACCTTAGTTAGTAGGTATCCCACACTGTGATAAAAAAAAAAAGATTCTAAATTCCGCAGCACCCTCGTCCGTGCACATGTCTGGTCGTACTAACATAACAAATTTAGTCCGATGACGTCCTGAAGGATGAAACGCGTCACAAGTAAACATTTTCCACAATATATATATATATATATATATATAATAAAAAAAAATATAAGTGTGTGTCTGTGTTTATATATATGAACATGTAAGTCTTGCTTGTCAGATACTCTAGTAGAAGTGTATGTCGTCATTTTCCAAGTTTAGAAGTGGCAAAAGGCCGAAATTAGGGGACACCCAGTGTGAATCGAACTCACTACTCAGTCGTAATTGTTCTAGCGAGACAAGCTTGCTAACCATTACACCACGCCGAGGTTCCCTGGAAGTTTATATATATGTGTATAATAATCTGGATAATAGTGTCTTTGATAAAAAGCAAAATTCATTTTTTTAAATGAGCCTATATTGTATATTGTAAGAATGCAATTTGGGGAAGCTTATTGGCAATTGTTTCAGTATCAGTATCAGTTTCTGATTGGAGAAATAAAGTTGTCCAATCAATAAATAACAGTTGAGAATGTATTTGTACTGGTTGATCTGTATGACAATTTCATGAACAACTGTCGTCTGGGTTCTAAGATTATGTGCGTTAAATGAGAATTGCAAGCAAATATAATAGAACAATATTTTACGAAGGGATGATGAAACATTATCGACACGACTAACTTCACAAAATCAGTATTTTAACGAGGAAACATCACAACACTGATTTTGAGAAGTGAAATTGGTCGATAACTTTTCAGCACCCACCTCATATATTTTCTGAGCCAGTGAATATGAGAGACATAAGATTTTGCATCTTTTAAAAGTCTGTTTTCAGTGTACACACACACACACACACACACACACACACACACACACACACACATATATATATATAGATATATATGTCTGTATATAGTAATATATTTTCTGTTTATCGTAATTTTTATAGATACAAACATTTAAGCAAATAGTCTATTTATAATAAACAGTATTAACTACATTTACCTGCCTGAATGTCCGAGAAATTTCATAGAAAATATTTGTCCTCCGACAGGAATCGAATCTGTATCTTACACGGAACCCTCATATAGCCAGACGTGCTGTACTACAGAGGAAGCGTATGATTAACAAAGTCAAATTACTGTTTATAAATTTCCCATGATTTTTCTCAAACGATCATATCTGCTCGAAGTGTATCTTTACGTAAACAACTGACATCATATATTATGAAATGGACTAAGTCCGACAGTTATCTATCTATCTATCTATCTATCTATCTATCTATCTATCTATCTATCTATCTATCTATCTCTCTCTCTCTATATATATATATATATATATATATGTTAAGATAATAGCCAGACTTAGTCCATTTTTGTAGCGATTTTATAACATATTTATATTTATATATATATATATATATATATATATATATATATATATATATTACTGAGAAACATGCATATATATATGTAATTTCTCATATATAAGAATATAGTATAAATCCTTTTTAAACATTCGGTGATTAAAGTTTCGCTCACTTGTTACACTCAAGAACTGATTTTTCTATTTGGATTATGTTATCCATTTCAGCCTCGACTAATTCGTAGACTTTTATAATTTAGAACAACTTCACAACAAATATTAGACTGGCAACATCTAAATGACGAATTGTAGTTTCAGAGTTGTGTTTTCTGTTTGACTTTTGTATATAAGATTAAAGGAAAGTTCAAACGATAACATTCGTTAAATGTAATTATGCATTATTATAACGACAGGAATCTAATAATGGAAATTAGACAAATATGAAGGAAGACAAATTGTACGAATATATGCGCGCATGCGCAAATTTCCTTCACTATTTGCGTACCAGTATATTTGATCATGTGTATTTGTGTATTTATTGCTGTTGTGTGTAAGTGTGCGTCCGTTCGCTTCTAATTTGACCTTGTATCTTTTACAGGATACAAGTGAGACTTGACTCTTCTTGAATTTATTCAGTGTCATGGTAAATGGCAGGACCTGGAAGAACTTTCTCCGTACCGCTTCTCGATGAAGAGGCACTCCCTGCCGCTGACGTTTTATTCTCAGCATCAGCGTCCATCTGTGGGTTCTCAGTGTGTAGTAGGGGTCCTTTGAATTTTTCTTTAGTGTCGTTTTCATCGATTTCTATTACCTTGGGTTCAGTTTGTTTACTCATTGGGTCTGATTTTGACAAAGAATAAATGACATTAGGTATCGACTCTCTTGATGATAAGTCGGGATCTGAAGCAGTAAGCGTTTCTAAGATGGTTTGCGTGGAAGTCCGAGCACTTTCAGTCTCATCGATAACATTGAATGTTTCTGGTGATGTTACTTTGTTTGGTGTGTTGCTTTCTTCTTTTGGAAGAGAAGGTAACCGTCTAAAAAGATCAGGGGTCGGGGGCAAAGGAGCAGGTTCTTTCGGTAAAGACGTATCACTACCACTTGCACTGCCATGCATCCCCTCCTTTTTATTCGGAAATTGGCTATTGCCGTTTCTCTTCAGGCTTTCATAAGCATGATTCTGTACGCTATCAGTCTGGGTATTATCTGATAGTGCTACCTTCCCAGAACTTCCCAGGTTATCTGGTATTGTGTCGTAGATAGCTTCTTCAAATGCTGGATTGTCGCTGAAGTTATCATAAGGATTTGTGTCTGTGGAGTATCTTAGTGGCTGGGCACCTCCACTTCCATTTCGTTTTCGTTTCCTGATAAAAAAGAAAGAAAGGGAAATTAATTGACAGAGTTTGCGCTTTTTGTTTTTATCATTATCTTGAAAAAAGTAACGTCAATTACTTTACAAATTGAACGAATTTTTCAATAGAATCATTTATAGTGAATTAATCAACGCAGAATAAAGAAACTTTTGTTTTAATAATTTCGCTCCGGGCAAGGCGATAATGACATTAAGGCACCAGAGCTTACGGAAAGTGACAGAGAATTAGAAAATTTTAGTGAGTAGGAAGACAGAAGATGGTGATTAATGTTGCATGTAAATTTTTGAAGATCGTAGGTGGCAAGGAAACAAGAAACTGGAAGTGAGTTCCACAGGCAATAAGTGCGAGGAAAGAAACTATTAGAAAAGAACTTACGAACTACTGAGAAAATCATAATCATCGATTTGGGAAAATTTCAACGACGCTCTCTATTCTTTAATGAATATTTATTTCACAATGTGTCTCGTTGAATAAATGTTACAATTGCTATTATGGATTAATTTTCTATAAAACTTTATATACTTGAATATGTAAACAGAGGTCCTCATATATATATATATATATATATATATATATATATATATACACATACTAGGTTGGCATGCATCTCTCTCTCTATATATATATATATATATATATATTTATATATCTATATATATATATATATATATATATATATATATATATATATAAAAAGAAAGAGGAATTCAAGAAAGAAATTCGGATTACCAACACACAAACAGAGAATGTCATATCGAGGATATTTAACATTGAACATAAGGAAAAATTATTATTTTTAATAATATGTAAATCTCCTTTTTTACCTGAAGACGGTTGCGAGACCAGAAACACGTGTCGTAAAATTATGTAAAAAAAGCATAATATTTTTTTCTAAATAAATCCACATTACAACCAAAAACGTTTACGGCACCTCTTCTCTTCTTTTAATATACATACTTTTCTCTCGTTGGAACCACTACAACATATTTCTTTTATATATATATATATATATATATATATATATATGCTACTAGGTTGGCATCTCAGTCCAACTCTTTCACTGTGGAAACGGTTAAATATAGCCGTCTCTTCTACTCCAATAGCTTCATGTCTCGCACTTCCCATCTGTAGAACTCCCTTCCTCTTGCTTGCTTCCCGGATAGATATAATCTCCAACTATTCAAATAATCAACATCTCCAGAAGAAAAAAAAGGACTGTGAATTAGATAAAGATCTAATTCACAGTCCTTTTTTTTTTCTTCCTCTATCATGCCTCTTTAATCTTGCTTCCATTCTCTGTAACCCCTTGCATCCTAGTGGCACTCCCGACTTGCATGGGGTGAAATGTAATATATATATATATATATATATATATATATATATATATATATATATATATATATGCCAGACTTGTACAAAATGTCTTTTATACTTAGATGGTCAGAGATTACATTTCAGATAATCTTAAATTGAAACATTTACGATTAAATTTCCTGTTGTTTTATGTGTTCAGCAGACATCACCTGCAAAAATACTTTTTTAAAAAAATTTACTTGATTAAATAACGAGTTACATATGATGACACGTTCACATTATTTTTAGCCTCTGTTCATCTAAATGTTTACACCCTTATTTTAAGTTAGGCCACGAAAGACTTCACAGCCACTTAAAGAAATGCATATCTCTCGTTGGAACATTTCGAAGTCCATATCAAAATATGAAAATAAAATTAGCAGGTGTGGGCTTTGAAAGGTCTGAACGAGAGATGAGCATCTACAAAAGGTAACTTTGTTGTGAAACCAATACATATAAAAGTACTTTCCCAACATTCTATGTGGGTGAGAATGCATGCGCGTCTCTGTGCGTTTCTAAGTACGTTTGAGAGTGACGTCTTTTTATGTATCTAACTAATATTTTCGGGAATATGCTGATAGTGTAGCGGATATCGGCGCAGAAAGTGAAATCGGCGAACGGGTTTCAAATTCAGGGCCAGTCTTCTGCATTTTGTTAAATGTCGTTGTGAAAGGCATTAACCAGTCTCTTCTCTCCTCATCCTGCTATGTGTTAAATAACAAGATAAACAGATCTCTCTATCCTTGACTGGCAAACAGTCTAAGAGAAAGACTACTCTGAATTACAAACCACGAAGAGAGCAACTGTAAATAACTCCGCTATCATTCCTAAGGCAATTCGCAGATAATAAAGGAAAGGATCCGAGGAAAGGATCATGATCGGCTATGTCCTGAAGGTGCATAGGATTTTTTTTAATGACATTGAATGCTGCATACATGAAGAAGAGACTTGAGGCAACAGAAATGTCGTTTTACAATGATTACCGTTTATATATGGTCGCTGCATTTCATTCAAGCGTTACGAAATTGCAGTCTACACATGGGAGCATGGCGGAGTGGTTATAACGACGATGAGACCCGGGTTCGAATCTCACCATGGTCGATTTGTCAGGAAGGATATTTCCTGATGTTATCGGATTGAAGGGGTCGATCACAGCGTGCGGCATCTTTGTAAAGTACCTGAAAACCATACCACGGGTTTACCCAAGCCTTATAAGTGAAAGTGGGTAAACGGAAACCTTGGGGGCGACGATAGCTGTGCAAGTCATCGTGGCTGAGGGCTTGAGCGTGCTGGCCTTGTTCAAAGAGCATGTTATCTAGCGTGATCAACAGTTTTGTTGTTGTTGTTCAACAAAGCAATAAATTGTTGATCACGCTAGATAAGATGCTCTTTCCCAGAAACTGTAACTAAGATCTGCTCACCATAGTTGCAGTATAAACCACAGGTGGGCTCTGTGGGTGTTGAATGAACACAAATGCACCTGAGCAAGCGTCTGCAATAGGGATCGGCTAGTCGCCCTAGTAGACGGGTATGCTCGAATACGAGTGGACAGCTATTATACACGTGCGCCTACATGCATATGCCGTTGGCAACGTGTCGTATTAATGCGCAACGATTTTATCCAATGAGCAATGTCTTCACCATTAATAATACTAATAGAAATATGGTTTTACAGAAGGATGTCGAGAATACCATAGACCGAACATGTAAGCAACGACGACATTATAGAGAAAATAGAAACAAAAATGATACTTATACTTTGCATCAGAAAGAGGCAATTGAAATTTCAGGGGCACATAATGAGGAAAGAGAGCTTGGAAAAATTGATACTCATCGGACAGATTGAAGGCAAAAAGGAAAGAGGAAAACAATGCATGACATATTTAGCGAATTTGAATAAATGGATGAGCAAGATTTAGGATAGATAACAAAAGGACAAAATATATTAAGAGCTACAAAGGACGGGAAATTGTGGATGATCGACAACTTTCTGAAGAGACATGGCGTACAGAAGAAGACGGATATTTTACTAGCCTTCATTTACATCCGATTAACAAATGCTGAATCTGCTTACCAAACAAAAATCAGGACAATGACGAGCGTTGCGACGAGTAGGAGACCGGCAGTGACGCCACCAATGAGTTTAGGGTCTGAAAAGAAAAATAAGAAAATGAAAGAATGCATATGTAAAAAAAAGCTGAAAAAATACTGTAACAACATAGAAAGAAATGTATGTATTTCATGACTATATCTATATATAAAATTCTGTGACTTCCGTTAGTTCGTCAGTCACACGCTCTAAAATAGCCATACACTGACCGATCGAAACCAAATTTTGTGAATAACTGCAAACAGGTAAGGAGATACTAATCGGGTATAAAGTTTTTTAAATATAACTTTATGTAAACTATCTAAACTAGCTAAAATCAGTAGTTTTTGAGTTAAAACAATTTGCTTTTGACTACTTTTCGTAGCTTTGCGAACACCAATTATTTTAACAAGAGTCCAGTTTCCAGTTTGCCCTGTTTTGCGACAAAAATAAACAAATCACAAGGCCAAACCCTTCAAAAAGTTAGGATTTGGAGCCAGAAAGAAATATTCATGCATGGCCAGTTTTGTTACACACTCAAGAGTAAGAAATCCTAAGAATTTATTCTTCGCTGTTAAAAAGGAAAAAAAGAAATTTTCTGTAAAAATATTATTTACCATGAAGTCCTATGAAATTAAATTAAATAATCTATTAAAGCGCGAAGTAGGGTTTTTGTCAAAGTATTTTTCCAAACAAATCAGCTTATTCAAATTTCATCGACTGGGTTGCGAAATTGAATGAAACGTAGAGTTTGTAAATCTCGATAAAAAATATTAGCGATAACTTCAACAATACTAAATACTGTGAAGATTTCAACATGTCAGCGTGTGGCAAAAAATTCTCGTTCTATAAAATAACAAAGCGATTCTCGTCTTTAGACTGTAGATTTTTAATTCCTAATAACGTTCTTTGCCTTCACAAGTATTTTTTAAATTGACATGTAATTTTTCACATTACATGAAGCAAGAAGGAAGAAAATTTTGACGTTATTGTAAATCCTCCATATTAATTTATTCGGGAAATAAGCTAGATATTGAAGTTACTGACAACAAGTAAATAAAATACTGCAAGAAATCTTGAAGACTATCGAACGTATTATTATGTTAATTACATTTTAAATGCAATAAACTCTTACTAACTTTCGATTAATGGAGATTGAACTGTATTACCTCACGTTATTGCCTTATATTTCTGCTAATCTGATGAATATTCATGAGCCCTCCAATGCCTAAAATTTTGAAAAACCAATAAAATATTTGCTCTTTTATATAAATACTGGTCACAAAATAAAATCCTTACATTTGTCTTGATAAAGTCTCTCGGAGGACGAAACGCGTCGGCTAAGATAATTTTTCCTTTTTGTCTTTATTCAATAAAATGAAATCAAATAAAACTATATAGATGTGAGCACGCTACAAAAAATAATATTTATTTTGGGAAACATTGTAAACTTAACGGCATTTGATGATTTAATTAATACACTTCATAATTGTCACTTTATCCTGTGACATTCACTTAAAGTAAAATGTTTTGTAATAATCAGTCTTTATTTCACAGCTAATTTCTGGGAAACCTCGAACATTTTGCTTCCAAAGTTTCAAATTCACAAAATTGATATTCATATAGTAGTTGTAAAATAGTCACTATGAGCGTTGTTAACGGGTACCTACAATCGATTTGAAATCTCACGTTTGCCATTCTGCTACACTACTGCTGAAAGAAATATTTGTCAGAATATAATTCTTTATTATTCCATTCTTTAGAATTACCGTTGTTTACTTTTACCAACGTTCACTAGCGATCTGTTGTCCAACATATAATACCGAAAAATATCCAATACAAGCCAGGACTGGTTTATCTATGTTAAGATGTTTTTGTTATATCACGTTATGGTAATTATGTTTTAAATAATTAAAACAAATAGTTGCTGTTATATCGAAATTCAGTTTATATCACAAAAGTCGTTTCTATTATTTCTTTTCTATTTCTTTAGAGATTTCTGCGTCCATCGTTTGTGGGTAAAATGCAAATGGATGATGTCAGTAAAAGACTATCTCGATAAACCGGTCTTAATTTTCGCACGACCTTTTTCTGTGTGTCTGTGTTATTGCATGAGTCGAACATTGTTCGACTTGATAAATACAGATATACAAAAAACACGATGATTGTCATATATATATATATATATATATATATATATATATATATATATATATAGAGAGAGAGAGAGAGAGAGAGAGAGAGGTAATATCAATTTGTAATTGATAGAGATAGTTCAAGGAGGACATTAATTCAATGAGAGCTCAATATAAGTTACAGAGCGACGTATAAAAATAAATCAAGAAAACAGATTTCTTTATATATATATATATATATATATATATATATATATAAATATATATATATATATATATAACACTGAGGACAGATTACTAAAATTCGTTTTTGTATGTATTCTGAAAATGATTATTTGAATTCGTTAATACGCCTAATGAAGTTGTTTTGACATGACTAATGAAAACACATCGTACATTTTAATGTAAACATGCGACTCAAACTCTCATATTTAACATTACGTTTTATTCAACTACAGACTTTGTCAATTAATGCCGGCTAGTGTGTGAGAGCGGACCAAGCCTAGGGTCCCGAGCCACTCATTCGAAACGTAGATATCCTCGCTTAAGGTGTCTGAGAGAGATTGCGTCCCTTCTCACTTGGATAGGTGTTTATATATCAGGAGAACGGCTCTCTCCCCACATGTGCATCGCATGTGCAACTGGAACGCCAATGCGTGTCTCCACTCGGCAACCAAGAGGTCATCTGTCAAGTCAAACCTGCACCTGCCTTATCTGGCATTTCTTATGGCGTTGAGCACTTTTTTGCTAGTAAGCAATTTGGCGGCAGACTCTTTTTAGAGTTTACTCATTTTTCTCTAACATTATGTAGCTTCAATTGCCCAATCTAGTAGAGCACTTTTTTGGGCGGGGGGGTTCTTGAAACTTTAGCTCCCTTACCGTGTGGTGCTATTATCACATATGTTATTGCGCACTTTTCTTTCCGGTAGATTTTATCTATTTTTCGGCTATTTTTGATCTTGGCCGGATGGTTTACCCACCCCGAGGCGGCTTTTTGGTTGGTTCACCATCTTGAACTCGCCTGGTTTATATATATATATATATATATATATATATATATATATATATATATATATATATATATATATATATATATATACCCATTCTACAATGTACAGCCACCGACCTCTTGATGGTTGCGTGAAAAACGCATGAATGTTCGAGAAAATTCGTAGAAAAGATGCGTTTTCCGACAGGGATCGAACCTGTATTTCTGTACAGAAACCGTCATTTAACCTGAAATGCTGTACCATTCAGCTACAGAGAAGCGTCTGGTTAGCAAAATCCGAATTATTGTTTTTATACATATAATCTTCAACAATTTTTCTCGATTGATCATTTCTGCTTGCGAAACGTATCTTAACGTAAACAATGACAATATATATTCTGAAATGGATTAAGTCCGACAATTATTTAATATATTTTTTGATTACATTTTATTTATATATATTTTTTTCTATCTATTATTTATATATATATATTTTTTCTATCTATTAAATTATAAATTAACATTTATATATATATATATATATATATATATATATATATATATATATATATATATATATATCAAAATTAAAATTAGATATTTGTTAAAATTTATGAAAATTATGTTATGTTGGTGTTTAAGTTAAGTTACTCATTATTTAATTTTTTTGTTTAATAATTTGATTTGATTGTTAAAATTTATTATATATAATTTTTCTTCTATAAATAATTTACATGTTCTTTTTTTGATATTTGGAGGTACTTTTTTTTATTATTTCCCATTTGATTTTTGTGAACACGTGCAGGAGCACGAACATATAGACGTCTGTTACGTTTGTGTATTAAAAATATACGCTTGAGGAAAAGTGACGTTTACGTGTGTCATTGATGGAATTGAAAAAGCACAAATACAAAAAGAAAAAAAAACGGGCATTTATCAAAAACAATCCTTAATAAGTGAACCTACACCAGGAAACTATGTAGACGGGCAAATTAAAACAAATACGGGTAAGTTAATTTACAGTAGGTACATTTTTCAATATGAATTTTTAAAATATTTACGTTCAAATATTGAGCATTTTTAAAAACTTCCATTTTAAAAAAATAATCCTTATATATATATATATATATATATATATATATATATATATATATATATATATATGTTTTGAACAATAAAATATTAAAATTTAAAATTTTCAGACACACTGGGTTGTATATTAATATATTTTTGTTTTATTGTTTCAATTAGCTTCCTCGACTAGTTTCGGCAGCATCAGGAGAAAAAAAATACCTGCATGTTAGTAGCAGTGAACTATTGGAGTGAATGACTGTCTTTGAAGAAAGTGAACTTTATTTGTAGTTTTCATTTGTTTTTTATCGGTAATTTTGGCCAGTCCTTGTGTTGGTTAAATGGCCTTTTTCAACTTGTTTTTAAGATAGAGGCTGGTACATTCCTGACTCCCCGAATTCCTTCTGTGGTCATTTTGACAATTTTATTGGTTGCTGGGAATAGGATGTGTGTGGTAAGTGTATTTTATCTTTTAGGTTTTGGGAGTTGTATTGCTGTGTATATGTGTATATATTTGGGTGAGTGTGTGTATAAATGTGATACCTCTGCAAGCATATCTGGTGTGGGTGGGAAATGCGAGTTGGGTTTGATTTATAGGGTTATATATCCCATCTGTTCTTTCTCTCATTTGGATATATATATATATATATATATATATATATATATATATATATATATATAAACACCGACAAAGCACTGAGGTTAAGTTCGTTTTTTAATTTTGTTGTGTTCTTATAATTTTCTTCTTTTCTGAACATAAATTATATAGAAATTGTCAAAATGTTCAGTATGTTCGAGCTATGCTTTTAGCCATTATCAAGTATGATGTTATTTTATTTTTTTTATTTTTTACTTATGGGAATATTTTATTTTCCAAACACGGTCAGCACATTGTAGCCGTGTTCATAGTTGATGTTATCGAGTGTTGGGTTTTTCTTTTGTATTATGGCCTAGTATGCTGCTGCTGACAGAGTTTGGTAGGTCCCCTTATTTAAATGAGACTTAATTGAGCTATAGTCAGAGAGATATAAAGTGAATCTTCTTGTTAAGCATGTTGTAGTATTTCCAATGTAATTATTTTTGAATTTAGTTTCATTAGGAACACAATTCATTTAGTAACATTCATTCGGAAGTAATATTGGTTCTGTATAATTTGGATCTTGCAGGTGAGTTATTATTATTGTTGACGATGTGCTAGCAGTTTAAACTATTTTATAGTCGATAATTAATTTAATTTTCTTGTTTTTGTCGTCTGGAGTTGTATATTTCTTTATTATGTTTCTATGTGAAGATTCATCCTGAAGGATGAATCTTTTAGAAACATTGTTAAAAATGATTGCCGCCCAAACACACACGCACATATATATATATATATATATATATATATATATATATATATATATATATATGAAGAAATATAGTCTTAAGGTGTTCTAAAGTGCTCAATATCAGAAATAGAGCATGTGTAAAAGTGAACATTGAAGTCAACACGTGGTCGGACGATTGCGTCTAGCATGAAATAGACTGTCGCCTCTAAGTATTGACTTCAATGTTCGTTTATATATATATATATATATATATATATATATATATATATATACATTAATTACACATATACGCGTACCTACATTTTTTGGCGTGCAACTATACTATCGTTGGTGGAGTTTCCAGTTCATCGGTTCCCTAAACGCCAGCCCGATGAACTGGAAACACCACCCAGCGAAACTATAGTCGCACGCCCAAAACGTAGGTACGCAAGGCGCACAAAGTAATACATATCTTTGCTCTGTATAACAGCTTTGAGCACTGTTACGTTTACACTTCATGCATAAATTTAACGATTATTTATTTGATTGCCTACATATGCACACCAACACACGCGTACACGCCTGCTTATATTTGGCCGTTTCATTTATCCACTCTACAACTACACACACACACACACACACACACACACACACACACACACACACACACACACACACATACACACACACATATACATATATATATATATATATATGATAACGATATATATTTTTATATATCAAGAACAGTATTGGGGAAATTGTATGACAAAGTGGAAAAAGTTCACTTGTGACGCGTTTCGTCCTTCAGGATTTAATCGCACTAAATTTGTAATGTTGGTAGCACTACAAATGTGCATGAACGAGGGATGACATAAAATCGAAAGACTATTGAATCAATGGCTAGGTCTGCTGTTATGAAAGTTGGTTCACTGTGTCGTGCGAAACAAAAATGATAAGAATATTTCGTGCTGTTCAAATGATTTATTAATTTTTTTTATAACTTATTAATCAAACGATTCGGACAAATATTCAGTTCATTAAATGATTATTGCCCTGAAATTAAGAAAATATTTTAACATGGCATTATTAAGGCTGAAAATAAATACTCAAGTAAGCATTCATATGGTGAGTTATTAAATATATAGATATAGATATAAATATATCTCAACAATCTGTTGAGAATACTCTATTCTTAAAGAAAAAGAAGAAATTTAATTTAATGATCTCCCTTATCCAAGCGTGTCCTTGTGCATGTGCAACAGGCTGGTGTTTTCGTAAAAATGCAAATAAATGATTGTTATGATGTGCGTGGAGCAGAACATGAGACGCTGCTATAATTTCACACTTCCTTTCAACTTTTTTATGAAGAGATACGAGTTCTGCGCATGCGTGTGGGTGTGCTTACGCACACGCAAGTACGGTAATAGGCAGACATTATTCTGGCAATTTAAAAAAATGTAGAATAGTGTACATATGATGGGTTACATGTTATATCTATAATAACTTCTTTACATACATTTCAGATATATATTCAAGGAAAATAGAATGTGATTTTGGAGGTGGCGTATATCGTGAGAATCATTTGTATTTCTTGAGTATCATTTAACCTTTCAAAACATAACCTTTTTGAGGCTACAGGAATGATGCGGAAATGCGTAATAAACAGATCTCTAAAACCTCATTCACCTCCCCATTATATATATATATATATATATATATATATATATATATATATATATATATATATATATATATATAATATGCGTGAATGTGTGTGCGCGTGTAGTGTGCCAGTTTTTATTAGTACAAGTGCATGTGCATGAAAAATTCTGTGAAAAATTTGTTTTGTTACAAATTTTATTTTAATGAATGTTTTGTGAGTAAAACGATTCGCTAAAAAGACTATTGTTGTTGTTCCTTTTGCAATGTTTCTTGTTCATGTCTGAAGGGCATAAGGTCTCGACTACTTCAATGATATCAATGCTAAGCATGTGATATTGATCAAAATAAATCTTGCATATGAATTTGCTATCACTTATTTTGGGACTTTTCCTCAGATACTGGCAGGTATCATGTAATTGATTATGCCCTGCTGCGATATATATAAAAGGGAGAGGAGCCTTGCCTTAAATATGAAGAATACGAATGATCTGTCAAATAAAAGTATATATAATATTTGCAGCAGTGAATAAGGAAGGTTACGCGTATTAATTTCATGTAAGTCATAATAACTGGATGAACTATCTAGCCTCAAGTCACAACTATCTTCTGTCTATATTTCTCAGATGAGGTATTGTAACCATTTACACTATGCACATTGTTCGGACTGTTGTCCTCATCTTTATTGTCATATTCACGAAGTTGTACGCTCCAGCCTTCTTCTAACTATATCTTTGTCAAGAAATTAGTTATGTTCATGTTCATTTAATTTCCTGTTTGAAAAATTGATTTATTTAGTTATTTGTTCAACTGAAAAACGCTAAATACTGAACTGATAAGAAGACCGTATGTTTATGGAGGTTTCTTTTTTTAATAAATTTATAGTACCAAATCGCATTTTAAAATCCAAAAATCTTGTTTCATATTTTGCTATGTTTTACATTCTGTTTACAAAGGCATCAGAAAATATTTGTCTTAAAACAAAATCGGATCTTTTTTGTTAATTCACCCTAAATAATGTAAAGTTACTCATCGCAAATATTAATTCCCCCCAATTTTTAAATCAAAGTCTGTTTCTTATTAAATATTTGGCACTTTTTGAGATTAAAAATTTTACATCAAAATTTGTTTAGCTTGCCTCGCAACAATTCCAAACCTCAGAATGAAAAATTACCAAAAATTAGGGAATTATTCACATTTCATAAGTGCGCATGATATTCGAGGTAAGAAATTTTTAACAATTTAAAAAAATGTTTTTGGCTTGTTTCTCGGGGTGAGCGCAGAAATCGCGCACCCAAGTTACCCACTTGGAAAGATCAACCCAACCAGAGTGCAATGGGAGAGCCTCGCTCTGGGAGAATTTGGCATGAATTTTAATAAATATAAATTCTATTTATTTTGGGGTGAATTAACAGAAAAGATCGACAAAATCTCTAGCTTTACAGAGATATCATTTGTTTATTGCCAGCTTTAAGGACACCAGTCCGATAATTTAGTCGAAACACATACCACGAATGACAAGGTAAATGGAAGAATAATATACTTTCTAAAGTCTTATAATCTACTTTTTATGCACCTTATCCCCCAAGGACGTGGGCGATCATGGCTCCCAGCAGCTACCTGTCTTTTGTAGATATAAATAACATTTAATCTCTTACTTCACCATTCCCGATCTTCCATCCATTTACATAAACTCGTTCAATAGGTTATTCACTATTCCCCTCTCCCTATCTCATATCGTTCAAGTGTTAAATTCCCTCTAAATATAATGAAAATCTCGAAAACTTTTATCTTCAAAGTATAAACCTGGGAATAAATATGTTTTTTTTATTTTCGTTTAAAAAAATGTCGATAAAAACTTCGCCCACTCTGAAAAAAAGCAATAGTATTCAATTGCTATTCTAACTGGAAAACTGTTAGGAATTTTGGTAATCAATGTTTAAACTGCATTCTAACTTTCAGAATATTCATTTCTGGACTAAACAAAGACTCGACTGAAGATGTAAGATACTTAATAGAACAATTAATCTTTCTGGATTGTTCCGTGATTAAAGTGGACACACATTCAGTTCCGGATTTACTTATAGACTTAGCAGGCTGAAGCCTAGGGATTCAAAATCTAGGGACCCTCTAACCAATGTTTATAATATTTTTTACACTGTCATAGGTTTTTCTTACACATGCTGTCATAACGCATTGTAGACTCTAACCCTAACCCTTCAGTAATTTTAAACACCCATCGTCATCCTCAGTTTTACTCAAATCTAATTTAACACGCTTCCATTTTCCTCTACTTGTGAGAATGCGAGATTTTGAGGTGCCTCACAAGTGCAATAGCCTAGGACCTCTCTTCTCCTAAACCCGGCCCTACACAAAAATGAACATAAACAGTTACTTAAAGAACCAAATAAGCTATCAAATTATTTCTTATGTTTTCTTAGTATATATAACTTTATATGCCAACGAGATCACTCATACATTATCATTTGTTCGTTGGATGGATTCTGTGAATTCTTTTGAAATTATAATTGCCCTTTGCCCATGTTGAATTGTGAATTAATAAAAGTTACTAAGCGACAAAATAATAAGTTCAAATCCCAGTCAACGAACCTCAACTGCAACTTCATTGGGTACTGTGTCTCTATACTACGGTATAGAAGCATGTCATAAAACATTTCGGCATTTTCCCTGATACTATACTTCATTAAGACAGATCAGAAGGCATCTAGAAATCATCAGGAAATGTTTTAGAGACGACTGCGAATTCTTTACTCACCATTTATAGATATCCCCCCTTTCTCTTCCAAATATGATGATGAAGATAATGCTGATGTTGATACTTGCTGAGTAGCCGTATGAATAGTGCTAGCTGTACCTTTACTTGTGGTGCCGTCGGAGTCAGTCGTTTCACTTAGTTCAACAGGCATCCGGTATTCCTCGCTCATGTTCCGGCATGTCACTTGGATTCTATTATTTTCAGGTTCGTCAACTGCAATAACAAAATTGGTTATTGTAGCTAAATAACGACAGCATTTCTTGCGAAAGTTCTACAATATAGCTGTAAAAATGTATTAGGATATTCAATGATTTATATATTACTAATAAAACAAACTTAACCTTTTACGAATTTATTTGTGCTTGACGAAAAAAAAACGATTTAACTATTGATTACCCGTAATTTCATGAAAATCCATTTTTTCTATTGACTTACCGTTCTTTTCTGTTTTATTGTGATTGGTACGTTTTGAACTCCCCTGACTTTGAAAAGACAATATATAAAGTTGTCCGTGGTTAAATACTGGCTATAGCAATTATATTTCAAACTTGTTAAAAGTTTACCTTTCAGCTTTATTTAGCTTCATTGAAAAGCTGAAATTACGACTCCAAATCAATCATTCTTGACTCACGTATCTTGTTACATTAGATTTCATGTTTTAGTGGAGTGTGAAGTACTACACACACATTGTAACTATGCATTATATAAAGAATTTCATATTGTGAACATATATGAAAAACTAAATCATGAAATACTGTGTATCATCATTGCTGATATTATCCATGAATATATTCGACAAATTCTGAAATAATTGAATATATTGTCTATGATAGAACACAATCAGTATTAAGTAATGGCTGGCCACTCTTATATGAGTATGCCTGTCTGGTAGGACGGTTAGACACCCCTTATTGCAGACGTCTGCTCAGGCCCATTTGTGTTTGTTTAACACCCACAGAGGTCACCTGTGGTTTATACTGCAACTATGCTGAGTGGACCTTAGTTACAGTCTCTGGGAGAGAGCGTATTATCTGGTGTGATATACAGTATGCACAAACACTTGGTCACAAAGACTTGTCAGTTCATGCTAGGTCAATTATCGATGGTTCCAAATAGTTTCGTCTACCCAATTTCACTCACATGTTTTGGGTCAACCCAAACTTTCCTAAGGTACCACACACTGGAATCGCCTCTATAGTCCGATTACATTAAGAATTAGAGGATGAATAAAAGAATAGAATGAATAATAGAACGCATAAACGAATAACAGAATAAATTCATGTTATAGATTATATTACTTAAAACGAATTATGTAGAGGAAAAAACACTACAGATTACAGTTTATTTTATTTTATGCAAATGATTTCTAACTGACGAAAACTTTCAAAGATAGGAAACTCTAAATTAAGAGGATACATTTACGAATGTACATTCATGAAATTCAGATCAAACTGTGCTGTTATTTACGCTATTTACATTGTTCGGACTGTTGTCTACATTTTTGTTGCCATATTCACGACGTTTCGGCCGTTGTACGCTCCAGCCTTCTTCAAGCTCCATTTCTACTTCGCTCGCTTATAGCAGTAGTTTATAATACAAGAATATAATCTGATTTACTGCTAGAAATTGTTTTTTCTTCACTCGTAGGCAACGATCTGGCCGAAGGATTATTTTTAAGTCACAGGCGTTTGACTGGAAGAAACTGCATCCGGTCAACGAACCTGGTGTCTGGTCTGAGTTGTAATGCAACAATGACAAAAGCAGATGTATCAAATCGATGTTGTTTCTTCGTAGCCACAAGGTTTTTCATTTGTCAACCCTACAGGAAAAAAAAAAGATTTGTAAGAACTGATTATCACCTGATACCTCTACCCATAGGAAAATACTACTTTCATTTGCTGTTTGGTACCTCATGTGGATTTCTGGCTTGGTGCCTTTTGATGCATAAATGGTGGAAAGACCGTACAAAGCCTTTTCGCACGTGACTTTCTTGAGGATTGTTTGGTCGGAGAAGGCCAAAGATTGACTGCAATTAAAAAGCACATCAACAGCCTTCACTCGAAGTGTATGTGATTTTTGGTTATTCAATGTAGTGATGTTGCACAAACAGTTCCTGCTGTTTTGAACAAAGTTTGGATAAAGATAATTCCGTAGATGAATAGTCGTATCGGAAATGATTGACGAAGACCCCGATGGTCCACACATATCCACCACGTTGTTATCTGGAAGATAAAAAAAATAATCAAAGCAATCACAAGTATAAAATTCATTCATATAATATGAAAACATCGTGTATGTGTATGTGTGGGAGGGCTATTATTTTCATGAGCAATGGTAGTTTCAAAAATCACAACCCAAATGTGAATAACTTAGATACAAACCCATCCTTCCTTAGTCTAACTGAATAAATGGTAAAATTAACTGAACTCGAATACTGAAAAAAAAAAACAGTAATTTGTTTAGTGTCTTAAATAAATTTTATATTACTTTGATATTGTTTTCTGTAAATAACCATTATTACTCAACTTAATTATATATATATATGTGTGGGCGTTTGAACATATATATATATATATATATATATATATATATGTCAATGTGTCACTGAGTCACACTTTTTCAATTAAAGGGACACAACTCTCTAACTTTCAATAGCATACGTTACATGTACATTATATATATATATATATATGTATGTATGCATGTATATCTCGTAACGAAGCAAATATCGCTGTAATCAGCAATAGAAATGTAGGAACAAGTTACAGAGAGAGAGAGAGAGGGGGGGGAGAGAGATTCTAATAAATGTTATCATAACGAATCTTAGGATATGCTCGAAGAGTCAGATTTTTCTGTATTTGCTACAAATGCCAGTGGCCAGTATTCAAATCCAGGGAAAAAAGAAGGCAGATAACCAGTCTTCTTTTAGAAAATGTGTGTAACATAACTCTTGATTTCTCCTTGGGTGGATCTCAATCTAGGCGAAGGACACCTATAATTAGTAGCATTAAAGAAATTTCATTAGCGTATAAAATGAGTGGTTTATATAGAAATCAAGACATTTCTATGCACTTCTTGCAACCGAAAATACAGTATTCAAAAATTAAAAATGTCCATTTAGTTATAACTTAAAGATAACTTTCAAACATCATATCATATTATATACGATGTCATGAGATATCATATCCTATATGATATCATAAAATATCATATCGCAAAATATCATATTTACACAATTGATATCGTTAAAATTTAGTTTTCATAAAATGATATAAATTTGGTAAAACCGTTTATACTGTGTCGTAACGCAAAATGATTAATTTTTTTTAAAACTAATTGTATCTATTTCCAAACTTTTGGTATTACTACTAAGTTTCGGATTGTGGATACCCGTAATTGGTACGATCATAGCCTTTTCACAAATTATTAAAAGAGACAACCTTGAGATCTTCAAATGGCTATTTCGCATAGCACCAAAGTTTGGCTTTTACTTAAATTTTTGTCGTAAAATCATTTTCTCTTTCTGACAATTTCAATCACTTATGACAGGGACTTAGGAAATAAAAAAAATCATATATAACTACACCGGTACAGAATTAAAAAATAATCCTGCTGAGAGAAAACGGTTGAGTTGATTTTTATTGCTGATTGTGGACAAGCTATTTTTATTACTAAATTTATTCCATTTTATTGTTAATTCTTATTAGATCTTCGAACGTTAAGACAAACAGAGCAAAGATTTTAAGTAACTTCTAACAAAATTTGTGCTTCCAACAGCCACTTGCAAAGATTGCTTTTGTGAAGGGAGGGATCTCTCCTTAACCTCTTCAGCTACTAAAAGGACCATCGATCTGTAATTATCCTGTCACCTTTCCACCAATTCTATACGTTTTGCTTCTTCTTCTTTGTCCCTTCAGTACGTAGACAATCATGGCTCTTCACAACTTCCGGTCATTTGTAGCTCTTAGAAAGCACGTCTTTTTGCCATCTCTCCTAAACTCTGTTCTGTCAAACGTTGACACAATTTTGTTAAGTAAGTCATTCGCTGCTTTCCTCTGATTCTCTTGCCTTCAGTATGTTCTGTGAGTGTCAAATTCTTTAAGCCCACTTTCCTCATTATGTGCCCTAGAAATTTCAACTGTTTCTTTTTTATTCTAAATATAAGTGTCATTTTTGTTTCCATTTTCTCTAAAACTTCGTTTTTACTCACATGTTCAGTTCAAGCGGGCATCAACATCTTTTATAGATTCACTTTTCTTCATCTTTGAGAAGACTGTCCTGCATTCACTAGCATATAGAAGGACTGATATTACATAACAGTTCAGTACACTTTTCTTTGTTTCAGGCGAAATTTTAAAGTTTCTTAATCATTTGCTTAGCTTTTGGAAATCATCTTTCGCTATTTCAATGCACCTTCAGATTTCGCTGCTGTATCTTTCGTTTTCTCTTAAAACATTTACTAGATATTTGTATTTGCTTGATTTTTGTCCTTCTAGTTTGTAGTTCCCATCTTAGGTGTTCCTTTTGCTGACAACCATACATTTTATCTACTTACAATTGCTGTTTAGTCATTTCATCTCGTTTTTCTTTACTTCCTTCTGCAAGAGCTTCACTAGTTTCCTTTCTGTCTGCTACTAACACTGTGTCATCTGCATATTTTATGTTGTTAAGATTGTGACCACATATAATGAATCCGTGTAGGACTTCTAATTCTCTCAAGATTTCCCCACTATAAAGGTTGAATAAGTCCGGTGAGAAGACACATCCTTACGCCTCTTTTTTGTATATTTATTGAATTCATTTCTATCCGTACGCAGACGGTTTGCGCCCGGGATAGGTTCTGGATTATTTTAATATGTTTCCCAAATAAATCAAGCTGACCTAGAAGTTCGAACAGTTCTTTGTATCGTATCGTATTTTATCAAACTATGTATACTTATGTTTTATATGTTTTGGGGATACGAGTTCAAATCTAACATTTTACATTTTTAATTTCCTATGTTAGTTCTGAACAGCTCTTGCGGTCGAAGTGTTTATCAACTCAGTAAACTCTGAGTTTAGTTTTTAGTTTTTCCTTCTGCTGTTAGACGTCGCGGGGAGACACAGTCGTCTGTCAGCGGCAAGTCGAGTGGCCTGGAGGAGAGATATCTAGTAGGCTCTGAGAGTGTCTGTCACTGAATCGCTCCAGCGTCGTCTTGGTCTGCCTTTCGCTCTCCAGCCAGAGTACCCGAGGATGTTTGCTCGTGGGGCTGGTTGGTTGATAGGCGTACGAACCACTTGATCCTCCGTCGTTCAATATGTTGTGTGATTGGTATTGCTCCTACCATTGCCTCATTCCTGATCTTGTCTCGCCTGGTCTTGTTCACTGCTATCCTCAGGCATTTCATCTCACAAGTGATCAGTTTCCTCTCAAGGGTTTTTGTCAACTCAGAGTGTTATGATAAAATATAACTAGTTTACTTGTGATTCTTTCTTTTTAAAGAGTAGCGATTAATCTACAAGTAAAGATTTCTTTCAAAATGTAAAGCGTAAGAAAATCCCTTTACACTGTTTCTACGTCTTCTGAAGAATTTAAAACTAACGATGAGGTCATTAAGCATTAAGTGATTAGAAAATGTTTTTAATCCGGTTTCGGTTTATAAAGGGTGTTTCATTAAGACGGATTATATATATATATATATATATATATATATATATATATATATATATATGTGTGTGTGTGTGTGTTTTCAGTTTATAAAGGGTGTTCCATTAAGACGGATCAAAGCCAGCAGTAAATAAATCAGTGTTATTGGTGAAAATTTATTTATTTTTCTATTGGATCATGTTATTTAAGTCATAGCAGTTATGTGTGAAAAATAATATCGCCCAAATGTCCGGCAAATCTAAAAGAAAAAAGAAAAATAATGAGAAGCCTAAACTTAATTCACATTTAAAATCGGTCCAAATTATTGGAACACCCTTTATTAGAATTCATGGTAATAACATTCAAAGCTAATTATATAGACGGACTAAAAAGGTTTAAGAAATTTTTGCAAATATACGCGAAGCGCTTGTATATTGGCAGGAAGAATATATTATTGTACTTGTCGGCCAAAGAAAGTATCGAATTAAGAATAAGATGGCAAAGTCGTTGGCCCCAGTTGTCTTTTTTCTTTCCTTTCACTTTCAGCCATCAATAGCCTTGTAGCTGGAATTCATTATAAATGAACATTTTGTGAAAATATTTATAGAAACAGCAACTGGTACTCTTTCCCATAGCCTCAAACAAAATTCATGTGTACGAAAACAAACTCACATAAAAGGGTGACCCGTATATAATCACGCACCTACACTCGTGTGCACATGCACTGTCTGAAATTATTATGTAAGAATATAAATACAATGAAAAAGAACAGACTGCAGAAAGTACATTATGTCACAATGACCCCAATATAGTAAATAAAAAGAATTAGCATGCGCAGACGTACATATGGATATAGTTGCACGGCGGTATCTACAAATTACTATGATTTATCCTCGGTATTCTTAATAAACCACCTGAAAAGGAAAAGTAATTTTAATGCATAATCGAAAACACATTCGTAAAATAAAATATATAAACAATAACTCGGGTCATTTGCTCACTGAGTCAATGAAACAATTGCAATTTCTGTTGGATATATACTCACGCACATGTACACACAGGATTCAGAAACAAAAACTCTTATGGACACTCGCGTATTAAAATACAGTGTCTCAAAAGTATTAACACCATTCGGTAGTCTAATAACATAGCCAATTCTTGCACAAATGATCTCAAATGTTAACAAAATGTTTAAAAGCTTGACTGTGCGGAATTATCTCAATGGGAATCTATCAGTAATGTTCACTTATATATATATATATATATATATATATATATATATATATATATATATATATAAACTAAACAGATAGATCGGGCGTGCCAGTGATAATGACAATGTGCTGTCTGGTGAAATAGTCACCACGTCCACCTGAATTGACACCTTGTGATTTTTCTTCTATGGAGCTATGTAAAAAAAAAAAAGGACAGACCTATACCCCCTCTTCCTACAAGCCTAGAGGAATTCAAGCAGAAAGTCACCGAGGCGCTGGAATGTTACGCAAGACTTGTTAGAGCGTGTTTGGTAGGAACTGGATTATCGACTTGACGTGTGTCATGTCACAGGTGGTGAGCATATTGAACATTTGTGAAGCT